TGTAACCAATATAATAGGTAAACATCATACTTGTTTCAATCTAATACATACCCTAGTTTGTGATCCTCATATGAACCTTGTTATGAGCTTTCCTCCCGAATTTAGAGGAACCTGAGATCAATTCTCATCACCCATTCATGTGGCTTTCTACACAAAAAAAAAATAATAATAAAAAATTAAATAAATAAATATGGTCACAAGTTCGAAACATGTGGAATGAAAAAGAGAAAGGGTCTTTTAGGCTTTCTTTCTTTTTTTTTTTTTTTTAAGTGTAATCAATATCAAAGGTGCTCTACAAAACAGGAAAGGGGGGTAATTATGTGAACCATATTTTTTATTGCAACTCTCAGATGACAAAGGATTTATCATAATTTTTGTAAAAAGAAAAAAAAAAAAATATCACAGTTCAAAACGTATGGAATTAACTTAGAGAAAGAGTTTTTAATAGTTTCTCCCTTTTTGTTTTTGTTTTAATTGCAATGGTTTCACTAGTACCTAATATTTGGGAAGTGAGTTTGATGGAGTTAGATATTGCATGTGTTGGTAGGATTTGTCGAGAGTTAGAAAAGAGATAGTGAGGAAATGGTTTGTTAAAAACTAGCCTTTCATCCTTTATTGCTCGAGAAAAGGGTTTTTGATATATATATATATATATATATATATATATATATATATATATATATATATATATATATATATATATATATATATATAATAATAATAATAATAATGGCATCGGTTTGACTAGCAGCTACTCCTTCCGTTTCGAAATAATCGCAACACTCCCCTTTTAATTTACATACGTCTCATAATAATTGCAACACTTCCTATTTTGATCAAGAGTTAGACCCACTACTATTTTATTATATCTCTCTCCTTCTAACCCCACTTGTACAAATATTTTATTATTTCTCTTTCCTACTTAACCCACTTATAGATTTTTTATTATTTCTCTCTCCTCATATCAATGAGGAAAACCAAGTTGATATCCTATATTAACAAAAATATGTTAATATCACCAATTTTTCTCTCTCCTCTCATGGCCAATTTTTCCATCTCTCTCCTCCATTCCCATGGCCACTACTTCATTCTCTCTCATCCATTCCCATGGCTATGCCCAAGATCAACCACCATCGCGGATATAAAGCGGTCGGTCGGCCGGCCGGCCAGCCAAACAAAAGACACCCTAAAAGCAATTTATGAAAATTGGCCCATACAAATCTCTTAGAGAAAGGGGTTCGCTCGTACTGGTTTGATTTTCATATTTTTTTTAGACTTGATTCTTTTATTTGCTGATTGATTGAACAGACTTTCACCTTTTCTTGAATGATTTTTATTTTATTCAAACTCAAAAAACATAATAACAAAGTCAAAGAACATATTATGCTCGTGTTCTTTATAAATGTCTATAATGTTCTTTTTTTCGCCCATGTTCTTTTAAATATACCTAATGTTCTTTCCGGGTGCACCAACTACACATTATTTATATTATGGTAAAAGCTAACGAACGCTCCGGAGACGTTGGATAAACCGGCTAAAAGTAGAAAGATTAAATTGAAATGAACATTAATTACACTGATCGACGCGTGATTTTGTCATGCATTTTCAAATTAATACCACTTTTGATAATATTTTAAATTCTTATCTAACGTCCCGGGATGTTCGTTAGCAAGATCCTTATATTATAAACATCAATTTAATTGGTACTTGAGTTTGTTTGACATCAAAGTTTATATATTTAAATGAGGAGGGGTAGTAAGGTCTTTTCATGGGGATACCATAGCTTCTCCCCTTGTCTTATATAATAGATATTATCATTGATTGTTGTATGGAAAATTGGCTTAAAATAATCTCAATTATTAGCGATGTGTACAAAATAACACGATTTCAATTATTTGGTGTCAATAGTACCACCTTTTGTACTATATGTGCAAATTGGTACGCCGACCGCTAGAGAATGTATCTTGAGAAATATTTTGTCCATACTCATTATTAAATTATTTTATTTTATCATTATTTTTTATATTATATATTACTTTTTTTTTCAAGATACATAATTATGTTAATAATTTTCTACCCATAAAAAAATAATAAAATTTCTTGCTACCCAAATAAATAATGTTGCACCCCTTTATTAGGCTTGTTGATTTTGGTTTTTAGGACAATTTTTTAAACCAATTATATCAATATAATAATACATTTAAATACCTTATTTACTTTTGTGTTATAGTAGAATAGTTTTTTCTTTACATAACTTAACTAATTAGACTAACAAAGGGGTTGGGCATCATTAGTTTTGGTAGTAAGGATATTATTAACATAGTATGCATTTTGAAAAAAAAGAAGTAATATTAATATAATATACAAAAATAAAAATAATGTAATAAGGAATAAGGACGAAATATTTCTCGAAATACCTTCTCCGGTGGTCGACTTACCATTTTTCACATATAGTACAAAATAAAAGTGGTACTATATTGCAGATATCAAATTGATAAGGCTGTATCATTTGCACACCGTGTTAATTGTTGGGATTATTTTAAGCTAATTTTCCTCGTTTTATACATTTGGGTGCAAAAGAAGCATATTGATGATGGAAAATCTTACATCTGTTATTCTTTTGTTAATAATTTTATGTTATTATTTTGATTCACTTTTTAGTTATGTACGTTATTTGGTGGCCAATATTAATTAGGATATAATTGTTACTCCCTTCGTATTTTATTGCTTACTCCATTTAGTTTTTGGAGGAATAGTATAAAGTATTATTTTATGATGGAAATGGGGTTAGCTTAATAATAAAATAAATCTAAAAAGCAAAAGTGAGTATAAGTGGGAGAGAAAGAGAATATGAAAAATATTAAGAAATGATATGAAGGGATCACTAGTAACTGAAAATAGTAAAAGGTTGTTGAAAGTTTTCAAAAAAGGAAATGGAACAATTAATAAAATACGGCCGTAAAAGAAAAATGGAGCAAGTAATAAAATACAGTAAGAGTAGTATGATTCGATTAGTCAAAGATAGATTAGCGTTTATGATCATATATATACAAAACTTTATCTTTATAAGACGAGATTAGTTTTCTATTTATATTAAGATTTATTATACACGATTTTTAGGCTAGTTATTTACCTTATAAATACATGAGGATCGGATGGATAATTAATGAAAAAGTATGAATGAATGGTTGATTTGAAATTTATAATAAGGTAACGCTCCGGTAAGAAGGCTTGAATAATTGCAAAGTGTTGAGATCTTGAGAGGTTGGGGAAGACCTAAGAAAACTTGGAAGAAGGTGATTGAGAGAGACATGAGTGCTTTGGGAATTGAGCAAAATATGGTGTTAAATAAGGTGATGTGGAGGGAGAAAATTCATGTCAACGACGTATTGTGATTATATATATACTTTAATTTTCAAATTTATTTTAGTATTTGATTTTATTATTTTTATCCAACTAATGTTTTATATACCATGTTGATTTCCTTTGCTAAAGTTTTTTTAAACCTTTTTTTTTTTTTTTTTACTTTAACATTTTAACCACTCCTATAAACTTTCTTGAATTTTATTCTTGGTTCCCTACCCCTTTTAAAACTCCCTTGATTTTTCTTGGATGTTCTTTCTTTTGCTTATTTTACTCACCCCTTTGTTCAAACTATTTCAAATGATTATTTTGCGATGTTCCTTTCTTTATACTATACAATTTCTTATGGCGATTCATATATGTTTATAGACAACTAAAATGTCTCCCCACATAAAGCCCGAGGAAGAAACAACTTTCGTTGCCTAATAATTTGGTCCGTTTTGCATAATAATTCTAAGAATACTCGAATAGTCCTTTTGTTCTAGCCCACTATTATTTTCTAAGCCATTTTATCCGATTCAATATCTCAAACCTTTTTCTAAGCCCAAAATCCATAAATTTTCACCCAATTTTCTCTTTTTATAATTGCAGCCCAAAACTGAGGAAATCTGATTTTTGTGCCTCATAATTTTTATCCAAATCCTACATGGCTGGATATCCCTTAAAATAAGCTTTCCAATGATAATCCCAATTCCAATTTGAAATGAAAAAGATATTATCAAAGTACTAAACTCTATCCAAAACTGATGCCATTGCACTATTTCAATTATATCTTAAAATCTATGAAAGACAATAATACAATTCTAATAGGGTTGGAAAGTAGACTCCCATAACTTTCCAAAGATATATTATTTATCTTATTCCGAGTTCTGGATCAAAAGTTATGATAAAAATAAATACCGTAAAACTACTAACCTGCGCGACGCATTTTCTAAATTCTATCAATTTTCTCCGAAAACGGGTAACCCACAAACTCAGCCAACCTTTTCAAGTGAACTTCTGGCTCCTTCTTTAGCCCTTCATATTCCAAGAATAACACCTTTTACGGGTTTCGCTTGCTCTCCTTCCAGACACCCGAGCAAAATTCATCTACGTATTTCTCCATCATTTCCATATCGGGTTTAATGCCCTTACATGCTTCATATTGTAGGTAATAATGCCAGATTGAAACGAAGGTGTCCCAAGGATTTCGACAAACATAAACAATTCGACATTTTTGGTATGAAAAGGGTGTTGAGTAAATACGATACATGGGTAGCAAAGAGTCGAGGTAATGGTATTTCAGATAAGTCTGGTTGATCACCATTGACTTTTTTGTAAACTCTTATTTCAGATAAGTCTGGTTTGATGAGCTCATGAGGATTTTTGGTATGAAAAGGGTGTTGAGTAAAATCGTCATAAAATTTCCTACGATGTACAATGGCAAAAATATTTATCGATTGTTTGTTACCATCGCCCGGCCTAGCCAAACCGTCGATACGTAAATGATAGATGTTATAGGCTTTGGTAAATTGGTAACGATCAAAATAATTTGTTGCTAAATTATATTGAGTGAATACAAAATTCTTTGTTGCGAAAAACTTGTTGCCAAAAATTAATCTTCTTATGGAAAACGCATAATAGTACATAACAATATATTTTGATAATTAAGATAGTACATTGAAAATAATGCAAAATTACAAACAAAAGCAACTTTAAAAAACAACGAGAGTACAATAAACTTCAATGCCGCCGAAATCCAAAGCCTAGAAGGCCAGACGCTAATATATTTACAAATCAAAGAACAACAATACAAACACAATAAAAATGAGAAACAATGAATGGAGAATTCTATTTAGACATCTCTTTATTTGGCTCAAATAATCCTTGTACTACACAAGTTTTATTTTACGTTTCCAAATTCATAATTATTTACCATGTATTTCGACCCTGATATCAGGATTCTTTAGAAGTTGGAACTGAGAGGAAAATTTTGACCAACTGTCAGGCAACTGAGCTATCCATCGCTCTCAAATTATGATAGTATGTAAAACAAAAACCAGCCTCCTTAAGCCTCTCTTGCATTTCGTTAATTCGCTTAGCCATCAAAGGAGTCAAGTAATTGGTCCAGTCTCCAACCTCGCCTTTCCTAAATAAAGCCTTGTTCTCAAACCAAGGATAATACTTGCCACTTTTGTTAACCTCCATCTCTTTCAAACTTTTAATACTACATAACTCTATTATCTCGTCTATGACATTTCCTTTCTCCTCCTCCCTCGAAAACGGACAACCCACGAACTCAGCCAACCTTTTCAAATGATCTTTTGGTTCTTTCTTTAACCCTTCGTATTCCAAGAACAACACCTTGTTTGAGTTTTGCATGCTCTCCTTCCAATACCCTAACAAGTGATCTTCATAAGGCCCAAATGGGAATATCCCCTTGCAATACTTATCTAAATGTTCCTCCATTATATTCACATCTAATTTCATGCCTTTATTTAGATCAAATTTAGACCAAAAATGACATAAAGAAACAAAATTGTCTAAAGGGTTTCGAGAAACATAAATAATTCGACATTTTGATGTTTTAATTGATTCAGGCAATGTTGAATACGGCATGTGGGTACCAAAGAGTCGAGGTAAGGGAATTTTAGTTAAGTCTGGTAGATCATTTCCATGGCAATTTTTGTAAACTTCAAACTCAAGATGGTCGATAAGCTCATGAGGAGTTATAGAATGCAAAGGATGTTGAGAAACATCACAATATTTTTTTCGATTAACAACGCTAAAAAGGAGAGATTTTAACCATGTTGTACCTGTTTTGGGTAGACTAGCTAAAATGACATCAGTATCTTGAGCTTGAAAGTTGTTTTGAAAAGAGATTGCGATCTCTGAAATCATATTTAAGCACCAAAAACCTTGATAAAAGTGTAATGGATAACCAAACCACAATTGATCTTTTTGAAGGGTAATTTCATCTTGTTTGATCAACTCATCTTCCAATGTCACTTGAGATTTTGTATTTGTGGGTTTTGAGGCTGCCATTAAAATGTACTTGTAATAGACCTATGGAGTTATTATAAACTATGGAGAAAAAAAGAAGTATGTAAGAGCTAGCTAGCTATAGAGAAAATGTTCTAGTAGTAGTACACACTTCTGGAGTCCTAGCTTATGTTTTATAGAAGTATAGATAACGTTTGGGTGATTGGTAAGAAGAAGGTGTTCCAGTAGTATGCACTTCTAGAGTCCGAGGTTACGTCTTATAGAATTGTAGATAACGTTTGGTTGGTTGGTAAGAAGAAGGGCCCTACCAGGCTGGAACCTCACACGGGTCCTCTTAATTTGAGTTAGCTGACTAAACTCTTTGTGAATGGGGGGAAGGGTAAGGTAAGGAAATCCCTACCCCCACAGATATTCTCACTAGACTAAGTTTTGCTTGGTACGTTGTATAGATAACTTGATTGTGTAGAACTCATTTTGTTGTACTGTATAAATAAATCTTTAGATGTTACTCCCTCCGTCCCTTTATTTTTGCCCCATTGTCATTTTTTGGGTCAAACTTTGAAAACTTTGATCATAATTTACCGTTAATCTATAAAAGATAATATAGTCATGAGTGGTCTCGTTAGATTCGTCTCATTGTATTTTTTATTAATATCATATTTGTATAATTTTTACGTGTATGGAAATAAAGATAAAGACGTTTTAAAATGCATGTTAGAGACCACACACAGTCAAATAGGATAAAAAAATAGGGACAGAGGGAGTACATAATACTACGATATCATACTATAAAGTGTGATTGAATATATCTTGCAAGTCACGACCTTTTTAGTAACATGGATGCTCAATCACTGTATCACAAATTTATTTTTGATTTATAAGCTTCATATCAACCAGAAATTCTGATTTCTATATGAAATTGTTTTATATTATTATTATTATTATTATTATTATTATTATTATTATTATTTGTGTCAGTGTGTGTTAAGCGAAAAATCTATAGTGGATGACACGTATTGCTATGTACTGCTAAAGCAACTTATTACCACTATAGTTGGAGTAACTTTTTTTTACCAAATTATCATTGGAGTAAATTTTGTACTAAATTGTCACAAGGGGTCTTTTTTATTTACCACTCTTGTCAATTGTTGGCCGTAAAGCGTACAATAAAACTAAATGTATAAATAATACAAAGGTAAAACTGTTGCGATTATTATGAAATGGAGAGAGTAGTAGCGTTTATTTTTGCGGGTTTCACTTATAGAAAATGCAATTTTAAGGTTTGCAAAAATTATTGTAGAGAAAATTTTTGACATTCTAGAAATCGTGATCCAAGTCGATTTTATCGTTCCCATGTGTTTAATCATAGAGAGATGTAAATGTTATTGATATAAATTCTAGTTTATATGTTTTTTTTCCTGGTTTTGTGTTATTTTTTATGTTAAAGATCAGATATACAATATAAAAGTAAAACGAGCTGTTTTCGAATCAGATTAGACTCAGCTTTTTCATCAATTCAATGGTCCTAATTATGACATATAGGTAGCACATTTTACTCTTTCATGACTCAAAACATTAAATTTAAAATGAAATTAAATTAATTAATTGTGGTAGTTGGCTTCTTACAATAGTAAGTGCAAAAAATCGAAAATAAATGGTATGCAATGCTTCCACAATTCAAGATGCTGGCCTTGAGATTCAGGCCTCCCATTGTTTCAATCGTTGTAATAATTAACTCTTGCTACGTACCAAAGTAATCATTTTACTAATAATTCCACCCGTTTTAAAATTGGTTGAATTGTAGCTAAATTATTCTAGAGTGATCTTCAACTGAGTGGCTGAGAGTGGCAATGAAAAATATGTGTCACATAGACACATAATTATCAAGCAAGTTTGGTTCCCTTTTTTAAAGCAATAATTAACTTTGTTTTCGTCAATCTTTCTTTTTCTCTCTGTCGGTGTCTTCTCAAGTTTTGATACTTAGACAATAATATTCAATTACGACGAATTTTACACTGCACGTATATTATTTTACTAGTCTTGAGTTTCAAACTTTCTAGTGATGCATCTAAAAAACAAAGGAAGTTTAAGGTTGAAAAAGATGTACGGCTAGTAATTTGACCTGATCCTATCGAGTTGGCAGCACAATTTAACTTAATTCATGAGATTTATACTTCCCATGTTTCATAACATTTGTATCATTTTGACTTAATACATAAGTCCATACACTAATTTGACCAACAAAATCTTTAATTATGTTTTTATAAATGCATCATATGTAAGTAAGTACCGTTATTGCGTGCATAGGCGGTGAATGGAAAGAAGACTTCTGCAAATTATATTGTTTTGTTTGGCTAGGCGTTCGAATATAGTTATGATTGTAATATTTGGACTATTGTATTTGTTTTGTTGTCTAGTTAGTTGAGGTATTTGTGGATTTAAATCAAATAAGTGGCCTGTTAGGTTAGACAGGATTTTTTTATCAAAGTAAGCCAACTTGGCAAAATAATTTGCAAAGTAGACTCGTGGCAAAAGTATTTCCCAAACTAGGGTTATGGGGTAAAACGTTGTCTCGGACAGCGTTTTATACCCGGAGTTTTTTTTAAAAAAATCCAAAACATAAAACGCTGCTTGAGACAGCGTTTTATGGTACTTGACTTTTTTGTATGTATTTTGTATAAAAAAATCTAACAAATGTATGTATACCATAAGACATAAACCTATTAGGGATACTCCCCTCTCTCTCTCTCTTTGTTTTTTTTTTTTTTTTTTTTTTTTTTTTTTTTTGAACAACAAGGATTCTTCTTTCGATGCTTCGTATTTATTTTCTCTGTTTTATTATAATGATATTTTACGTTTTAATTTTTGACATTGTTTACAAATACCGGTTTGATAATATATATTTATGTGAGACTTGAATCATCTTAATAAAACAAGTATATGTTTTCATAATACAATTTTTTATAATTTTACTTATTGATAATTGAAGATATTAACTGTGAAATTTGTGCAATGACAATTGTAATGATATATAAAAAAAATAACACCAATTTAAAAGAAACGATAAAAATATAGTGAACACTAAAATTTTGAATATAAAATTCTTCTTTCGACTTACATGTGTACTTTAAAACATTCACGATAATAGAACATATTTACTTGAATATTAATCTGGGTCATATATATAAAAAAAATTTGTGACAACGGATTAATTTAAAAATTACTCCAAAATGACTAGTAGGCTATAGAAGTTTTGTGACAAAGGATTAATTTAGAAGTTAATTATGGTACATTTAAATCTATTTTTTCTCCACATTTCCTTATTTTAACTCTCATCCAATAATGTCAATATAAACAAACAATAATGGAGAGGTGGTATTTTCTTACCTTTCATCCATACATTCAAGCATTGACTTGTATAGTTGAACTTGACTGCCTATAAGATGTTAGTTCATTAGGGTACGGGCTTTCTTTTTATCATATTAAATACTCCCTCCGTTTCTTAAAGTTCGACTCACTTTGCATTTGCATGGTCTCCAATGAACATTTTGACCATTAATAACTACGGCTATGTATAAGTAAAATTTTTAAAAAGTTGATATTTGAAATATTTATCATAAGGGGAATCTAATAAGATCAAACTTTTAATTTATTTTGATTGTATAAATCATAAAATATGGTCAAAGTTATTATTTTTTAACCACTTGAATAGTAAGTGAGTCGAACTTTCAGGAACGGAGGTAGTATATAAATTAGAAAGAGAAATCTCTATATTTATATATATTCCCTATATAAAAGACTAGCTCCTTGCAAGAGTTGTAATCTTACTTTTTTTTTACCTCTAAATCTGAGGCCTATACCACTATAAGCTAGCTTAACTATACCCATGTCAACTAGCACTAAACCAAACTCTTTAGAGGAAATAGAAGAATACAAACTAAAACAACTACAACTCACCCTTCCTAAAAAATTATGGCTTGGTTCATATCCTACTTATCTATACCAAGGATTTTGGTGCCCTGTTCTTGAACCCACAATTTCATTTCAAACACACTTTCAAGCCTTTGATTCGGATATTATCCTAGCCAGCCTTCCCAAAAGTGGCACCACTTGGCTAAAATCTCTTACATCATTAATCGGAAAAAGTTTCCCAATTTTTCTAAACACCCACTTCATACTCAAAATCCTCATGAACTCGTTCTCCAATTCGAGTACAAACTTTACTCAAAAATCAAGGGATGTCAACCTGATCTAACCAAACTACCCTCGCCTCGACTCTTGGCTAGCCACGTACCATATCCGTCTCTACCGGAATCTATCAAGACCTCTAAATGTAAGATTGTTTATGTTTGTCGAAACCCTTTGGACACGTTCATATCATTATGGCATTTTAATCTAAAATGCGAGAGGGACGAAGTCATTACACCGGATATGATAGAGGAATATTTTGAAAATTTTTGTAAGGGGGATTTTCCATTTGGTTCATATGAGGATAACATATTAGGGTATTGGAACGAGCATACACGAAACCCGAACAAGGTGTTGTTCTTGGAATATGAAGGGTTGAAGGCGGATCCAAATGATCAAGTAAAGAGGCTAGCGGAGTTTATAGGTCGCCCGTTTTCGGAAGAGGAATTAAAAGCAAACATTGTACAAGAGATAATCAAGCTTTGTAGTCTTGATAGCTTAAAGGAAAAGGAGGTGAATAAAAGTGGTAAATTTTATGATTTTGTGGATAATAATGCTTTATTTAGGAAAGGTGAGGTTTGGGATTGGATTAATTATCTAAATCCTTCAATGGTTAAGGAACTTCTTCATGACTTACAAGAGAAACTCAAGAGGTCGGGATTGTCTTTCAAATACTATCAACAACATTATTTTTGATAGTTTTGTATGTTTCTCATTAAATTGTACTTCTAGTAAGAAATAAATTAAAGGAAAAATTCATGGGAATAATCCCACTTTTGGGCCGTTTGTTTTTAATAATCCCACCTTTACCCCCGATCTTTTTTAATGGTCTCATTTTACCAGAAACCGGTTAAGTAGGTAATTTTTATTAAGAAAAGATTAATTTACACGTTTCATTACATAATTGGTAAAAAAAAATAATTAAAAAATCCAAACCCAATTCAGCCACCATCCCCACCACCACCCAAACCCAAACCCTAGAACCACCATCCCCACCAGACCCGAAACCTAAAACCACCCCACCAGCCTCCCCCCCTTCCCCTGGCCCGATTCCGGCCACCCAATCCCCAGCTCCCTTCACCGCACCCTTTCCTCATTCCG